CAGCCAATCAGGGCCTAACTGAGAATAAGGTTTGGGATGCAGCCTTATGTGCAACAAATACGTCAATGTTTGCATGTGCGAGTCCGGCACATTTTTCAAAGTGAATCTGCAATCTGTAAAATATGTACGTATGTGCAAATAATAAGAGCCGAGGACATTGTAGTAGAATGGCACTTGGAGCAGCAGTCTCGAACTTAATATAAGTGTTAAAAAAAAAAAAAAAAGAGCTTGATATGTCAGAAAACTGCAATCACTCCTCATTGAAATGTATGAAGAAATCTGTATTTATACCCACATCAACCTCAGAAAATATCACACTGATCACCCCAATATTGTGAATTTTATGGACAAAACACTTCTCACATTAAGTGACCTCAACCTTGTAGTGAGCCATCACCATAAAATCCGTAATCATTCTGATAGAACATAAGTCGAGACGTCAACACAAATTTTGGTTTATATTGACGGCAGTCTTCGGACATTAAATGATGCATAGCTTCTACATTGCGTGCTTAGATTGTCATGACGCGTCACACTATGGCAAGTGAGGAGTGAAATACCACATTAGTGTCCAACTAAAGAGCCATTTCATAAAAGAAACCACAGGAGCCACAAATTGTTTGGACATCTAAAATGAGGATTGATTTACTGCTGCACATGCCCGTTGAACTGGGTGGCCCTTTCAAAGCAATGTCAGCACATCTGGCATATTGGATGTGTCCATTGTATTTGGCATCAAATCGGCAAACGTTTTTGTAAAATTGAATTAGAATGACAAAATAAAATCATAAGCAATGATTCAGTATTAATCCAATGAGTTCTTGCTTTCTGATACATCTCCAAGTAGCAAGTGAACGAGGAGTCTTCACAGATAGTTTCACTTTGCCATGCATGATATATCCAAGATGGGCCGTAGTTGGCAGCCGTCGGCAAGTGCTCTTCAAGAGCTTTGCTTTTTTTTTTGTTGTTGTTCTTGTATTTTCTTGTGTCACATGGTGTTTGTTGTTACTTCGTGTTGACCCAATGTGGACTGTTTTCAGCGGTTTTGGCCACGATATTCATCAAAGGAGAAAAAAATCTGTGCTTGGTGGTTGCGCCTTCTTGGTAGCCCACGTGTACCAAGACTGATTTTGATTGGGAGGAATGTCGGCGCTATTTGACTGGCGCTGCTGGACAGCCTCTGGGCGCTTGTGTTTTTTGAGCCTGTAATGGGCAGGATTTTTCACAGCCCTGTTTCACCCCCAGTTTTGGTTAGCGGAGATGTCGGCGCTGTTGGACAGTCTGCGCTGGTGTGGTTGGATGGAAGGCTTGTGGAGCCGAGGATGAGAAGGGAGGAGCGTTGGCGCGGAGCACGGATGTGTATTTGGAACTGAGAATTGCCGCTCGGAATTGAAACGGATTTACATGGGACAGGAGAAGTCTACCAATCTCTTTTTCCGTCAATGGACGCTCCAGCTTCTTGTTTACTTTCAAACTTAGCTTGTAGCCGACGGGTGCACAACTTGAGCATGATGTGTCTGATCCGCTGGTGAAAGGACTGCTTCAAACAACAAGGCGTATGCAGGATAAAAGGTAAAGATTGCATGACTGTCCGTGTTTTATGTTATGTGTTGTGTTATATTATTTTGTTATTTTATGTTCACTGTTTTGTAAAGCACTTTGTTACAACTGCAGCGGTTGTGAAAGCGCTATATAAGTAAAGATGTATTGTATTGTATGCAGTACAGCTGCAGCGTCGACGTTCTCAATAAGGCGTTTATGTATATGTATGGTAAATGTTGTCTATGATAATGCTTGCCACTGATGGTCGCAAAAGGCTGCCATTCAAGACTATTGACTCGGAGTGCTACACGAATGTATCCAAATACAGTCATACCTCGGTTTTCCACCATAATCCGTTCCAGAAGGCTGTTCGAAAACCGATTTGTTCGAAAACCTAAACCACGCGCTTTAAAAAAAAAAAATCTTAATTGAACATGTCTGCTCAGAATGCAACGCTACACGAGGAAGCGTCACTTCCTCGTCTACCCGAGGAAGCGTCACTTCCTCGTGTAAGGAAGGCGAGAGGAGTCAAGTGGCGCATTCAAGTGCGCTCAGTTTGATCGAGAACCGATTTTCGGTTGCAATCCGAGGCATAAAAAAACGAGAAATTTTTGGTCGAAAACCGATTTGGTCGAGAACAGAGACGTTCGAGAACCGAGGTTTGACTGTATATGGAGAAAAGTGATGTATGTAGGGTATTAATAATCATTGGCTGCCCCCCTTAAGGCTGGGCTCTGGGGACGGGTCTGCTCCAGAGTACACTGTTATATTCACATCATTGACTAAGGGATTTGACGCCTTTTCCACAATGACACAAAAACTTGGTGTTCTCAAGGAACTGACATGTTCAGTGTCGCAAATATTTACTTTTGTTCGGTGTATTATGGAATTTGTGAAAGAAAATGGCTTTTGCAGGTGAAAAATATATTTTGCTATTTCTACGAACTGTTTTGAGAAATGCACGTATTGGTTTGCACATGGCAGCTCAACTGGTTAGCACTTCGGCCTCACACTGCAAGGGTCTTGAGTTGACCTTAATGTGTGGCGTGTGCATGTTCTTCCCATGCCTGTGTGGGTTTTCTCCAGGCACTCTGGTTATCTCCCACATTCCAAAAAACATGCATGGCAGGTTGATTGGGCACTCCAAATTGTCCCTAGGTGTGAATGTGAGCGCGGATGGTTGTTTGTCTATGTGTGCCCTGCAATTGGCTGGCGACCACATCAGGGTGGACCCCGCCTACTGCCTGGAGACACCTGAGATAGTCTCCAGCGCGCAGCGACGCTCGTGAGGATAGGTAGCTTGGGTAATGGAGATATGGAGGGATGGATGGATGCTTTGCACATTTCAATTCTGATCTCTGAAATGAACCAAAGCTACAGAGAAAAGCTGCCATTATCTACAAACGCAAACTGACCTCATCTTATCCACCCGCAACAGCAAAATGAGAGACCTTTTCCCTTCACCAGATCTAATTTGAACCAGAGGAGAGGCAGAAGAGAAATCAAAAACCATTGCACGACAAAACAACACAATATCATAAGCATCATCGTCATTGTTCTTGTTGTGGATCGCCATACTTCACTTCTCAACCTGCCTTGTCTCAAACTGGAAAGAACAACAACAATTGAGCCTCCCTCATGCAAGTTTGCCTGGCTTTCTAGAGACCTTGCCTCTGAACACTGCCCCAGCTGGCAGTATGTGATCTGTGGGTCTTGAGCCAGCTGGCCAGGAGGCAAACGGGGACCGGGGAGCAGGGACCCAAGCCAGCTCCGTCGTACAATACCGCACAAAAGCTCAAAGGTGTGAGGAAGAATAGAGCTAAACAGAAAAAAAAGAAAAAAAAACAGAAATAGAAGAAGAAGAAGCAAAGGAGCCCGTTGGACATTTAGAATGACAAAAACGTGCTTTATAACACTGCATTATGGGCACACACACAATATCACCCCCGCCCTCTCCCTCCAGCATCACCACAACTACACCCCTCCACCCAGACTCACCCCTTCCGCTTACAATGACTCAAATGTCACATGCATTATTCTGCGCAATTTCTTTTGTTTTCTCAGTTTTCTTCCCTTATCGTTGACATGTAGCATTCAGAAGGAACACATAGAGCTCTAATAATAATTCCCTGGCTTTTGTTCCCTTGTCATGAGGGTGCTCAGATCATTCCCATTCCATGACAGCAGCCCATTCAGGCGGATTTTAACGGCTGGGTCAATAAGAAAAGGCAGGAACGGTGAGAGCGCTTGCCTTTATGCCATTGTAGTTTTAGTGTACCCAAGTAGATGTTTTGTTCTAGTTAAAATAACATTTTCCATTCATTAAAGAAGTTAGTCTTGCGGTGAAGTGACAAGTGCGACATTTTTGTCACGTGCATAAAATTGTGGAGCATCCACTTTGTGTGTGTGTGTGTGTGTGTGTGTGTGTGTGTGTGTGTGCGCACGCACATGCAGACTGTATGCGTGAAAAGGTAGATAAGGGTGTTCTCTTTGGACAATCGATGCAAGAACAAAGATGCAAAGAAGGGACTTGGAATTTGTATCCACACGCAAATAAATATAGAAATATGTATTTATATACTGTATTTATACATATTTCTGTGGAGATAGATAGTAGCTAGATAGAAACAGAGAAAGGGAGAGAGAGCGAGAGAGAGAGAGAGAGAGAGAGAGAGAGAGAGAGAAAGATTGAGAGAGATGGATTGATGGATAGATAATGTTCACAGGTTTTCATACTTTAATGTTCCATGGACCATTTTATTGTTATATTTTATTTCTTACCATAGGTATTTTTTTTAATACTTTTGCTACTTTGAAATATCTTACACTGTAATTCATTTTAAGTCAAATGAAGGTGTTTTGCCAGATCACTCGTGTTTTATTGAAAGAATGGTTAACATTTAACAAATTCTTCCACGGTATGTAAACATGAAAACAACTGTATACGATCAGATAGATGGATGGATGGATGGATGGATGGATGGATGGACAGATAGATAGATAGATAGATAGATAGATAGATAGATAGATAGATAGATAGATAGATAGATAGATAGATAGATAGATAGATAGATAGAAGACGAGTTTCAAGAGCAACCTTGCAATTACAGCTACGGTGCCAAATGACAGCTAGCTATTTTTAAATTAGGCATAATAACATCGTGCTTCTGCCAATTTTCCCTTTCAGGTTTGTATCTTAAGATTTGTGAGTAAATGGCTTGTTGTAAAACTACGTCTGAAGAAATAACACATTAAAACGAAATTGTGTAATTGTATTGATTTCAGAACGTTCCCATGACATTTTTCATTGAAACTAAAATGTAAGCCATTTATTTTCTCGCGCACTATCGCTTGTGTATTTGAAAACAAATAGATGGATTTCATGCGCTGCCAATTACGGCTCGAAGCCGGACACATTTCTTCCAGGTGTCGTGATGAATAATGAATTAGAATCCTACCACTTTCGGCGAAGCTGATAATCTCCGAAGTCTCCGTGTGAACCTCGTTGTTGAAGGACGCCTGTCCGTCAAAACTGGGGATCTCCACTCGACCGTCTTCTCGCACTTTACCGGCGTGCAGCCTCCTCAGCGCTGTCACCATCGCGGCTTTTGGGATGGGATGGGTGATGTTCGGTCGCTCCCTCATCTGCAACCTGTTCAGTATGTGTCTCTTGACCGCCTCCAAGAAGTCGACGTTCACTCGTTCCGACTGATCCGGTGCCCTGAAGCCGCACGACGCGCACGACTCCGCGGGCGAGCTCGAAGTCTCTGGCACTGAGCTGCAGCGCACCGAGAAAGCGCAGGCAATTAACATCAGCACAGTGGCTGAAGTCATTTTCACAAACGTTAACAGTTAAGTCCACTCCACAGAAGAGAAAAATAATTCAACTAAATAGTGGCAATACAGTTTTTTTTTTTAATCTGCGACTTCCGAAAGAGCACAACCGCTGAGTCCAAAAGTCAATGAAAAAGTTCCAAACCTCCAAGTGCTGTCTAATTTGCGAGGTTATGAACTCCACTCATTAAGTAAGCATTCAGCGTGTGGTCCAACAACGAGTCTTGACTTTGCTCGCAGGTAAAATATACGTTCAGTTAAACAAGACGTTCAGTGATCTCTCCAAAATAGAAGTAAAACCTCTCTCTACATGGCCAGTGGTGTGTAGTCCGCTCTTTTTCATTCATACGCAGGAACTCATCTTCTCCAGCACCACTGCTAAAGAGGGAATAAGGTTCGGTAGCTTCCCGTATCGCGCGTCCCAGTGCGTTGCTGTAGATGACCAGCTCGTTTTTGTCCTGCGAGATGCTCCTGCCTGAGACCCCTTTCCCCTCTGCAATCACGACAAGGGCTCCGCAATTCCAAAGTTGTTTTTCTTTCTTTCTTTCTTTTTTTCTTGTTCTTTTTTTTTTTTTGAGAGGAGTGGGAACCACGTGGGGATTTCCACCAACTAGACGCAAGGGATTAGTCGACTATATGTTTCAGAGCGACGACTACTCCGATTTAGTTGACAGGCTTTTATTATGGTCGGACGTAGCATAGGTTGCCTATTCATAGAGCAACCCCCCGCCCCCCGAAAGGGTTGCCTTATTAAACCCACTCCGTGACACGCAGTGTGAGGGTTCAAAAGGCACCTCGTCATGTGATTAATTTGCAGCACTTTTAAAATAAAACCATATCATTCCAATTAAAACACTTCCTAACCACATTAAATACGTTTCATATTGCATGAAGACTATCTTTAGTGTTGTTTGATGGTGTTTTACCAAGTTCCATAGCGTACGGGTGTATGCGACAACTATACGTAAACATTTTTGGGACGCAAGTCGCGCGCGTCTTGTTGCTTTTTTTATTACTGGATACACACTGCCATCTACTGCTCATGCGCAGTCATCACTCTTTTCATAAAATATTTCGTCTCTCCAGGATGTGAAGGATTACAATTGTGATTTTTCACGGGGGACTGTTTCAAAAAGTTCCAGTCTTCGAATTTTGATTTCCCCTTTTTGTTCTTTGGACGTTAGTTAAAGATAAATCATGACCAAATGGTGAAACGGGAGACAACATGCAAATTTCACATCAGAAGGCCGTAGACTAGATTTGAACTCACTTTTGGTTTTCTTAAGTTCCTCGATACAGCTACCCTTTGATTCTATATTACAATTTATGCAATTGGCTGGCAACCAGTCCCAAGGTTTACCCCCCCGACACCCCAGTGCCTGGTACAGATACAAGCCACCTGTTAAAAATTAGTATCGGAAGGCAAGTACAGTATCATAATATTAATGTCAAGTAACATAAGTCATGGATATTTTTTAATTACTTTTCGATTACTCTACTGCGATTGGGTGGAAACCAGTTCAGGGTGTACCCCGCCTTCTGCCCGAAGACAGCTGGGATAGGGTCCAGCACGCCCCCGATCCTCATGAAGATTAGCTGATTAGATAATGGATGGATGGATGGATGCAAACAAAAACAAAAATTAAAAAAAAAAAAAAAAACAACACAATTTTTGAACAAAATCAAATAAAACAAAAGCTACAACTTATGTCTTGCACTTGACAATTACGCCATATATTGTGAAAATTAAAAAAAATACTGAAACTAATAAAACCAGTTATTTTCTAAAAAAATTAACTTAATAAAAACTAACAAATCTGCTCTAAAAAAACGTGAACTAAATAAAAACAAAAGTCGAAACAACATAAACGCCAACTATAATGAATGATTTCAAACATTTTGGCACCACCCCCTTCACCGCCGGTCCAAAATGCCAGTGCGCCCCCCCCCCCAACCCCCTCCAATGAACGCCAGAATGACGGTAATGTTAAATGACATAAGAATTGGTTGATTCTCCAATTACAAACAGTTTAAAAAGTATAAAAAAACATTTTAACGAACAAAAATGGTTAACATTTATTTTTCAATCACAAACACCTCGAAATTAATTTTTCGATGAGGAAATAAACATATCCATTGTTTTTCGCTTCAACAATTCATCACAAAGAGATTGAAAGAACACCAGTGTTTTGCCAGATTTATCGAGATTAATCTTCTTTAAATGTTTGAGTAGCCTATTAGAAAAGTTTTTCTCACAAACCAAGCACAAGGGTTGTTGTGGATTGGTCGGTGGATTGTATAATTCCATACTTCAAGTAGTCCACAGAGTATTGCCTACACTTCTTTTTTGATGCTCCTGGGGGTGCCATAGCTATCCCTGGAGGAAAAAATGCAAACTGTTTTTAGAGGCAGAAAATGGAGTAACGATTAGAAACTACGATTTAGATCAGGCAAAAAAATGTATGAAACAAGCGTACAGTATATGGTTTTAAAAACACAGTTGTATGGTTAGATGTGAAAGGCTTGATAAATTATGCCTGGGACATCTTAATTTCGAGATTGGAGAACTTAAAACCACCATCGTTGATCATCGTTGACCAGAAATGCGAAACAAATTGAGTCTTCCCAAAAGATGGTTTACATGATTGGTGAAATATTATTAATTGTTGTTCATCTGACAATTCAATTACTGATATAGGTCGGATTACAAAATGGAAATCAGGAAAATGGAACTCAAATCAGGCCTACAAACTGAATGTACAGGTATACAGGCACGTACGTCTAGTTGCAGTCACTGGGGGAACGCTTACTTAAATCGCCCCATTTTAAATCACCCTTTCTACCACCACCAATGTCACATTTTATTGTAATTGCTCCAACGCCCCCTTCACAATTTCAATGCCTCCATCCAACTGTCTACTCACGAGCGCTCCTTCGAAAGTTCATATCACGATACCGTCCACTTTGAAAACCACTATTCAAAAGTATTCTAACCCTGGTTCACATTTGACAGATTTGGGTCGGCTACAGTGAACTCCTTGGTGTAGTTTTGCTGATGATGTATTGTAGGTTATTTTAAGGACTGTGTTAGGGTGGTTCTGTTTGTGACCAACAGGTGGCACTGTAGGGCTCCTCCTGCATTGGCACACCTGTTGGTCATTGTGTCATTATTTCGTGTTTTGTTAAAAGGACTCCCTGCTCGACCAGTCGGTGTCGAATCATTGTTGCTGTTGAGTGTGTGTCTCTGCATGTGTCGTGTTCTGTTTTCTGTCTTAGGATTTGTTTGCTACTTTGGTTTCCTGTGAAATTCTGGACTTTATGTGAGTATTTGAGTATACGTGTGCTCCTGTCATGTTTTGTTTCCTGTCATAGTTTTGTTTGTTACTTTGGTTCCTTGTGATTTCCAGGCATTTGTTTTAGTACTTTGACTTAGTGTTTTTTCTATTGTACTCCTGTTTGTATATTTGTTAAATACATTTTGGTCAATCCACCCTGCTCCTCCCTGCTTTTGGGGTGCTACAACTACCACCATGCAAAACGTGACAGATTAATTCACTTCTTTTTTATTAACAATGTGAAAATACACAAGACACAAATGATGTCCAAGCAGGTTGTAATTTCAACCATATGCTCTTTAGTGGGCCAATTTTGGCCTGATGATATCGATGTAAACATTAACATGAACAAGGAACAAATGTGCAACTTAATATCACGTATTCATCCATTTTAGGCCCAGACCAGAGATACATATTTGTTCACATGCTCCAACATAACAAAGACCAAAGACATTGACCTGACCAACAGCAGAAAGCTATCAGAACTGTGTGTATGCAACCCAAAATAGTGTTGCGTGAATGAGTGCTTGAACAGTGAACTGAAACAGAAAAGCCCGATGAGTACGGTTTAGATTTGGATTGATCCAACTTGATTTGGATCTAATACATAACCTTATTTTGAAAGTGGATGTACAAAGCCATATAATTCCAATTGGTGTTGGGAGGTTGTGTTAAATATAAAATAGAATACAATGATTTGCAAATCATGGTCATTTACATTTAATTAAATAGGCTACAAAAGAAAAAATATTTAACGTTCAAACTGCTAACTTTTGTGTTTAGCAAATAAACTTTTAACTTCGAATTTTATGGCTTCACCATTCATAAAAATCCGGGATAAGGTCATGTTTACCACTGTGTTACATCACCTTTTCTTTTCACAACATTCAATCAAGGTTTGAGAATTGAGGACAGTAATTACTGAACCTTTGTGGGTCGAATTCTTTCCCATTCTTGCTTGATGTGTAGCTTCAGCTGTTCTACAATCCGGGGTCTCCATTGTTATATTTTGCGCTTAATCATGCGGCATACATTTTTTTCAATGGGAGACAGGTCTGGACTGCAGGCAGGCCAGTCTAGTACCCACACTCTTTTACTACATAGCCATGCTGTGGTAACACCTGCAGAATGTGGTTTGGCATTACCTTCCTGAAATAAGCAGGGGCGTCCCATGAAAAAGACACTGCTTGGATGGCAGCATATGTTTCTCTAAAACCTGTCAGTAGCTTTCAGCATTAATGGTGCCTTCACAGATATGTAGGTTACCCCTGCCCATACACAGGCCCATACCATTCCAGATACTGGCTTTTAAACGTTGCGCCCACAACAGCCCGTATGGTTTTTTTCCTCTTTGGTCCAGAGGGCACGGTGTCCTAAATTTCCCCAACCAATTTGAAATGTGGACTTGTCAAACTATAGTACACTTTTCTACTTTGCACTTGGATGAGCTCAGCCCCAGAGAAGCTGGCGGCGTTTCTGGGTGTTGTTGATAAATGCCTTTTGCCTTGCATAGCAGAGTGTTCTGTTGCACTTACAGATGTAGCAGTGAACTGTATTTACTGACTTTGGTTTTCTGAAGTGTTCCTGAGCCCATGAGGGGATGTCCTTTAAACATTGATGGAATTTTTAATGCAGTGAACCTCCCCCATCTTGGCTTGTGAATGACTGAGCAATTCAGGGAAGCTCCTTTTCTACTCTTACTGGCACCCACCTGTTCCCAGTTAAGACTGTTCACCTGCGGGATGTTCCGAACAGATGTTTGATGAGCATTCCTCAACTTTCTCAGTCGTTTTTGCCACCCGTCCAAGCTTTTTTGGAACATGTTGAAGCCATAAAATTAAAGGTTTATAAATATTTGCTTAAAAATAGAGCTAATAATAAATGCTATTATGTTTAACACAATGTCCCGACTTCCTTGAAATTGGTTTTGTAGTTTCTTTTTCACAGGACTGTATGCGTGAAAGCAATACATAGTAATCCATGGCTACACAGTTTGCATTCACAAACAAACAATTCCCTTTATAAGCTCCCAAAAGGAAGGTAATGCAAATGTGTCATAATGAAAATGAAACTTACCCTCTTTTCCTGGATATACAACAGGATGTAAACTCAAAAAGGAATATGGAGTAAAAGGTTTGTCAAAATAAAATCTGTCAACATTACAATACAGGCAACGAGATAAAATACTGTAACACTGTTTTCAACCCCATTCTGCATGCTCTTGATTCTGTCAAGAGTCAGAAAGAGTCATTTGCCAAACTGAGAGAGGATTAAGCCCAAAACACGGTCTGCCACCTAGCACTAGTAGCAGGTCAGGCAAATGTTGTGACATATCTTGATCCTCTTCTTCCAGCAACTCCTCCTCCGTGCAGCTCCAGTGCTTACTGAAGGCTTTATTTTCAAACGTTAAACAGGTTCTGCTCCGATGTGCACTTCTTTCCAGTAAGACACTTTTGTCCGATTCGGTTGCATTACTAAGAGTTTTAAGGTGACATTTCTCCAAGGTGAATGTTTGCATCTCTATAGCGCCGTCTAAACCCAGAAAATTGAGCGGGGCGGGAAAACATTTGTTTTGAAAAGGCTTGCATTTCTCATGTTGCAGCTTTGGGTGGGTTTCTGAGCAGATGCTGGTTGTGTCGGCTGAGTACTTCGGACCCAGACCAACACAACAGTGGTGAATCTTATCTGGAGGGCTTGATCCTGGCAGGGTGGTAATTTGCCGCCATGCATGAGTGGAGAAGTTGTACCTCCATAAACAGTTCTTTGGATAGTTCAGGCTTTCTCCTCCTCCGAAGAGAAGCATGCTGTCCTTGAAGGCTACAGCTGAGTGACCAATTAATTTCGAGGGTCCAGACCTGGGAAAATACCAAAAGGTGGTGTTAGGGCACTTGAAATTTTTTCTTGTACTGCACTTAAGTTCAGAGGTAAGCATCATCAATCTGTCTTCATTTCAAGCAGAACTAAACTGAAGTCGTCTGTCCGTCATCGTTATTTTAACCCTTTCAGGCACAGCGGTTACTACAGTGGACATTTTATCATTTTATCAGGTTCGAGGATGCATGAAAGGGTTCATCACGATTTACTCATCGCTAATTTAGTGTGTGTCTCCCGACACCCTTGTCAACAATTACATTTCAGCACATGACGGCCACACTGTCAATGACTATGTTTCGGTGTATGACGGTCCATCGACGACAACCTTTCAGCGCAAGATGGTCGCTCTCTTATTTCTCACAAGCCGGACGTTAAAAAAAAGATGTTTTTATGTTCCAGGATCAAATTTTTTAGCAGCTCAAGAAAGACACTCGTTTCATGAAAACAACCCTTTTTTGGACTGCCTTACATTATATGGATGATACATTGATTGTGTCCACTTCAATTTCAATGATACAGAATGAGAACTCAAATGCTTTCATACCTATCTCAACAAGACCAACAGAAATAGAAAACTAAGTTTGGAGTACAGCAGGGAATCAATGAATTTTTTTGGACCTTAAGATAACTGTTCACTCTGAGGGACAAATTAACATTTCTCTATTCAGTATTGCAAAAGTGGTGATAGAAATACCAAGATGAAAGCAGACAGCATCCACCCAGCTTCCAAGTCTCTCATGACAGATATTCCATATGGACAATTTCAAAGACTGTGCATGATATGTGATGAAAATTCTGACTTTGAGGCCCAAACCACAGTTGGCCCTTGTCCACCGAGCTTGTGCTACCTCAAGTTCTGGGCCAGTGCCCAGGTTAGCACCAGTTCTTTCTTTTTCCACCACTGAAGTTGGCTCTAGCGCTAGTGCTTAAAACTGGTGCTTAAACTGGCCCCAATTATTTGTTGGTCCAGACTCTGGCACCACGTGGGGGGCATCATGACGATTGCAGATGTAGAGGAATGACTCCCTGGACGCAATTGTGTCGCACTAGAAGAGCGATCGCGGATATGCCCAGACAGTATGTGATCTCCGACTTGCAGCCAGCCAGATCATCTACAATGATTAATGATTAAGAAACATACATATAAGCGTTTGCTGATTGCATGTCCCTGACTGTTATATACTACAAGCATAATCGATGCTATGCTAAACCGCATAGCAGATGCTTACAGAGTATTATTATTATGAGAATTATTATTATTAATAGCGCAGGCACTCTTGGGTAAACGTTGATTTAAGCAGTGACGTTTGGATGTTTTCTGATGACGGAGCTCTGACTTGGCTCTTTCTTTATACAAGAATAGATAATGTATAAAGATAATGCATTTTCGATCATACACTTTAACTGCCGAAGTCTAAAACACAAATGACCTCGAATCATTAGTTTTTGGTAAACTAAGAAACTAAATTTAAGTTATTGCTGTAACAGGGACGTACGTTGGGAAAAGGAAATGTATATTCTGGACTGAAAGATACAATATGGTTTATGCAAACAGGAGGGGAAAGATGGTGGAGGCATAGCCTAAATTGCTAAATTATTGAACAGAAAACCACAACTGTGATCAACTTGATGTGGAAGTATGAACTTCTAAGTGTAATAAGATCTAAATTTATGCTCGTAGCAGAAAAAGAAAGACTATTAATAATCCTAGGCTGACCAAAGGGTGGAAAAAGATTGAAAGAAAAAAAGAACCAAAGATGCGGAAGTTAGGTATAAAAAAATGTAAGACTCATATCAATCCTAAAAAGAATTACTGACCCAAATTACCAGATAAAAGTAAAAATAGTAAAACAAACAAACAAAAAACATGTAGTGTAATAAAAAAATGCAATCCTAAGAAACCCCGTGAAGGAACACACGCCAGACACGTGACTGTTTTCGTCAGCGAAACCGGTGTCCCTCTGTGATGTGAACTGAGAAGTCCATGGTTAGTGATGAATACATTGAAGGACATTTTTTTTAAGAGTTTGTCGTCACTTGTCAGCAAAACGGGCGTCTGTCAGTGACCGACGAAGGGACTGCCCACCTTTGGTCATTACAACGACGACAACATTTTTGATCCATGACAGCACTCTCATCTTTTTTTTCGAGCGAGAGAGAGACTTACTTGGTTTTGAGTAAAGTCCATGTGGAAGTGGCAGGATTCCATTTCCAGAAATCTCTCTGCTCTCTCAAGCCTTTCAAGCCACCAAACAGGTACATGCAGCTCTGGTAGACCATTGCAGAGTGACTGTGTCTTGGACCTGGGCTAAGAGATCCCTGCTGTAAACCAGTGAGGAGCGACCAAACCATGGTATCTGTCAGGCAAATAAGACACACGCAATATAAACTAGAACATAGTTGATGTGCAGCAGTGTTCGGTATTCAACTGAATTGTCTTTTTTTTTCTTTTTGACTTAACCCGGGGGTCGGCAACACGCGGCTCCAGCGCCGCATGCAGCTCTTTAGCGACATCTAGTGGCTCCCTGGAGCTTTATAAAAAATGTTTGACAATGGAAAACTATTTTGATAGTAGGCTAATATGGCTCTAATAGATATAGATACATGTTGTTTTTAAAACGTACAATTTATTCATGCTTTTAACGGTCTCGACAAACACAGACACATCTGTGTCCGACTCCATGCCTTCTCTCTTCTCGTTCGACTCGAGAGGCGTTCAAAGACAGCCTCCGAAAAACGGAAATTAATGATCACTTCAATGACACTAAGAAAAACGAAAAAGATGCACCAAAACAAAAAAATCAAGTGAGGAAATCACAAAATAAATTCTATGGGGGCGTTTGTGAACACACAACAAAGGAATGAATAACAAACAATTCTGAGACAGTCCAGTCTCCGACATACATACAGCATGTGTTTCCTTCATTGTAAGTTTTATAGAAGGCTTTTATTTTTTTGCGGCTCCAGACATATTTGTTTTTTGTTTTTTTTGTCCTATTCAGGAGTCACCAGAGCAAATTATCCCCCTCAGGCTCTCCATCTTCTGCTCTAACCTCAAGCTATGTGTAAGTCTTCCCTCACCACACCCACAAATTTCATATTGTCCCTCTGTTGAGGTTCCAGGTTGTGCAACTGCTATAGATCACAAATACAAATACAGTAGACGAGAGAAGGCTTACAGACGCGTTTACCTGGTAGCCATTTTGGCCGGGGCGACTTTCACCTCAAAGGCAATGCATGAACATATGTGACGTGGCGGCCATGTTAACAGGGATGACTGTCCCTTCAAAAGTAACGCAAAGCTTGGGAGTCTACTAATCATATCTAAGGCTGTTGTTTAAGCGAGCAAGCTTGTGTTAAGCGAGCAAGCTTGTGTACACTTTTCTTGAACATGCTATTTTTGGTACAATATACAGTTCTCTTTTTGGATCAAGCCTTTTATCTATGCACCAGAATGGATGTGGAAAAAAGGAAGTGCGCTAACATTGCGGCTTGAGTAACCAGCTGCGTGCTATTATCGCCCGCCCGCAACCACTAACCCGAAAACCTACGTGTACCATTTAAAATTGATTCTGTACTTAAACCCCCTCAGCCTATTTGCTCAGACCCTTCACACGAAATGTGCAACACATTCCTTCAGTTTTTCATTGATAAGGGTTTGTATAGCTAATAGTAACAAATTGACCAAAAGTACAGCTAAAAACGTAGTTGATGGGTCAGCCATGACTTCCGAAAATGAACCTATTTCCACAAGAGAAGATCCTCCCCTAGCGGTATGTTTAGAGTGATGTGGAGGAAGAAGCTGTTGTGCATGGTATGTCGACATACACAAGGCAATACAAGAAACCTGTTGAATCATTTGAACAAGTGTCACCCAGGTGATCAAGCGGAAAGCATGAAAATGCAAGCAGTTTGCACAACCTGTCCACGTAAATATTAGCAGTTTAGTCGCTAATAACTAGCAGCAATCACTCGTGTCATCTTTTGATCAGTTACATTTGCAAGTAGCAATGATGCTAACACCGTATGTGTGTATTCTTATTTTTTTTATACTCACCACAATCCAAACTCCAAAATTCTTGAGATGATCCCTTTATATCTATGAAGCCACCGTACACCAGCATGGATGAACCAATCACCACCGCACTGTGGCCCTTTCTGTTGGTTGGCATAGGGGTCTACATGCATGAAAACATCACACACAGCCACAAGTCAAGTTTGTTTTATTTTTGTAGTGCCATATGACCTCGAGGTACTTTAAACGGAGGAGTTCTTTTTTTGATGGGGGGGTGGGGGGGGAATCAGGTCCCCCCATTTTCCGGGTATTGAATGTTTATCAATGTTTTGAGGCAAATTCTTAGGGTTTCATTGTTTTTTCACAATCCATTTCAATTAGCGTCAATTAAATGTGAATTTTGGCTATTCGTGGGCCGGGGCAGTTCCAATATTCAGCAAATTGCATGGGTGGTCTTGACATTGAATGAATAAGTTGTTGAAACAGATTGGATAGATTGGTCCATCATCTCATCGGATCGGTTATCGTTTTTTTTTAAACGCGATCTGTGAGCTACTGCAAAATCCTCATCTGGTAAAGCCGAGCCATTGCAGATTCTGGAAATCAAGATATAAATATGAACTTTGGAAGTGTAATGCCCTACTAAGTTGATAAAGCCAGCACATGTCCTGTAAAGTAAAACAATTCTGGATCATTTGGTTTGTTGGGGAGAAGGATCAAATTGCTCCAATTGGTAAAACATGATCTCTTGCCCACATAAAAGACCATCAGAGAAATGCACTTTAATGATAATTGTAGTGCAATGTTTGAGTATCATTTGCATCTAATATGTGCACATTTTAAGTCGACAACTGTTTTAATTTTCAAAAAAACGAGAGGAGAGAGTTATCATTTTTATTCCTGTTTGTTACTGGGTGTGTAATCAGAGTGAGTTACCACATCCCATACAAAACTGATTGCATTGACTCATCTCTTGTCTTCATCAGTTGTTGTCTTTGCTAGGATCTGGAGGGTCGTAATTGTATGAAAACTCCTGTTGGTTGTCGCGGTTGCCAATTTCTAATGTGCAAAAAGTGCATAAATTTACTAATCTTACTCTGAACATCGATTTCAATCCTCTACTATGTGAACGCTGGGTGGCACCCACAAAAAGACATTGATTTGAACAAGAAAAAAATCTGACGTCATGTCAAAGCCCTCTGCCACACCGTAAATGTGTTAATAAATGAAGAAATCTAAAACTGATTGTTGAGAAAAGTACGGCGACCAAACTTGAATGTCTGGTATATTCCCATTGTGAAATTCTTTGCGGTGATGAAGGTTTCCAAGTACACAAAGCGGAGCCCAACGAAGCACGATTTTAGCCACTCCGTTCCCACAATGCATTGCGTGATGCAATACATTTAATGAATAATGTGATATGTTAATCCTTGTCATATATACAGTATGTGTGTACTGCTACCAATATCTGAATGTGTGTCATATTTCAGTACTGACATTTGTGTCTCATCCAACCCGCAATTCCTCGCCGATGGCGACCATGCTTGGCTGGTATTAATTAAGGAAATATAGAGGCGGTACCATGTCTATACTTATGTACCTCAGATAGATCTAAGTAATTGTTATCGACCAGATTCTGTGCCAAACTGAAAAAGAATCTAAATCATTTACTCAAACCACAGAACACAACAAATACACTTTGGAAGTTTTTTTTTTCCTTTTTCCCCTAACCTTAACTTTGAGTAACATTATATCTACTGGAAGCACAGGCTTTATGTGAAAATGGCCAAAGAACAAAAATGTGTCTCTACCTGAGGGACACTTGCTCTTCTCGGACAGTGAGCCCATTTCTGCTTTGCTGAAACAGACAAAAAGATTCATGTTGGACAAAGGAAAACATGACACAGCTACATTATTATTCTTATTATTAGTAGTAGTAGTAATAGTAGTAGTAGTAGAGTGGAACCTCAAGTTACGCATGACCCTTTTTTCGAACATTTCAAGCTACACATAACATTGTTGTGTTTTTCTCCTTTATTATGCATGTTATGACTGGTGCGGCTTATACTCAGGAGCGACTTGTAGTCCGGAAAATACAGTACTCATGGTTCAGCAACCATGGCGTCACCAATTTACGGATTAGATTTTTTTTCAGCCTTTTTTTTTAGGGGTCAACGCACATTTTTTCATGGACACAATCAAAATTTGGGGGATTGAAAAAAAGTTGAAAAAAAATTATTTATAATGGCCGTTAAATATACACAGGGTCTAATGATTGAGCTTTGTTACAGCTGTAAATGGCGAATAGGCACAAATCACTTTACACGGTTTCCTCATTTACCTACTGATGACGCAGCATCAGGAGCAACTGGAGGTTCAGTATCTTGCTCAAGGACACTTCAAAAAGGCCGTAATGGATTGAACCCCCAACCTCTCGACGGCCACTCAACCACTGAGCCGTGCCGCACTAAGGCTGTGGTTATTTTTAAAGTGCTCTATCAATCAAGTTTAGTTGAGTTGAGTCACAGTTTCAAACCATCGGAATAAATAGAACATTGGAAACTTTGAGAATGGATGTGCCGTGTGTCAGCATAAAGTATTTTAGTAAAACTGGTCTATGCACTTGTTGTGAACTTTGGTAGCAAGAGTGAGAATCATACTGGCATGCATGCATGTTGCAACATGTTTTGTCCTCATAGAAGAGCTTACCAATGTCAAACACCCAGAGAGGACATCTCAGCGATGTGTATGCTGAATCCAGTGTGCCTCCAAACACGTATATAAAGCCCTGAAAGTTAGGATTACTTAGCATAGTCCAACCATCATGAGCAAGGCAACATTTCTAAGCACGTGCATGTATGTTTAAACAAATATTTAAGAACAAGTAGAAAATCATTTTTACCTTATGAACGACCATGGAATGTTCCTCTACTTCCTCCGGTGCGGCTTCACCTACACAGCTCAACTCTGTCCATTCATTACGCACTAAAAATAATTGGGCATTGAAGAATACATTTCAGAAGGATGATGACAAAGATCTATGCAGAAGCAACAGAGTTAGGACAGATCCAATTGTTTTGTATGGATTTCAATAATACAGTACGGGTAAAACGGAAGCTAAATTATTATTGCTCCACGCAAGGCGGGTGTTTACCACGATGCACCGTCAAGTTGAAAGATGTTCAACTTGAGAGCAACGTAGCAATGATGTTAAAAGACTCATCCAATAGGAGAGGCGCTGGAGGAGTGATGTCAGGGTGCAAGCAGAAATAGCTCCTCCATATGGGAAAGCTTGCATTGGGACCCTGACGTCCTTGTGCGCTGCCGCGAACACAAAAATAAACTAGAGCAGGCTGAAAAGGCCTTTTCAATGTCAAATTTAAAATGATGGATGCCTGAAGGAAACTTTCATTTCAGCAGTGCTTTTGAGTTATGGTCACAATCCTATTCATTTTGGGCTTTGAATGTCTCCTATGAACCATGCTTTGAGTGTTATCATTTCTTTATCCTTATTATGTTATTTATTTTGATGTAAAGACGTCACAGACATGTGGGGGGGAAAAAACATTGGAAATGTTTTCGTTCAATGCATAAAATGTCTCCTTCAGATGAATTGCGCAAGGGTCATGCTTTGTCTATGGCTTACCTACACTGTACCTCCAAAAGTCCCTCAAAGTGCTGTTGTCTCTTCCTCCCAGAAGATAGACATTCCCATCATGGCTGCAGCAGGCATGCTTGTAGCGGTCACAAGGAACACGGATGCCTTGTGGAAGCTGGCTCCACAGGCAGGTATTATTTTGACTCATTGTATGTCCATGCCGACCTTACTGGACCATTTTCTAAATGAGGAAAAACAAACCATTTTCAAAATGGGAGAAACACGGACACAGGCACCACGTACTTTTACAACCCTCGTGAAACCACAGCAACATCGGCTTCCAAAGGTTAATTCTGGGGACGAGCATCTATGCACAGCAGTCTCTGATAGCGGTTGCGTTACTTGGGAGTTAATGCATACTGTGATTACACTCGCAATATGATTCATTCGTACAGTATCACAAATTCCGAGTAAAAAGTGGCATGTTGTTGCATTCAATGAATTTCACTAGTGGATGAATTAAATGCTGATCTACCTACCTATATTTTGTTATATTAAAAAAAAAAAAAAGAGCCCATTTAATCATTTCAAAATATTTTCCACCATTAATGTGGCCTGTAGGTTGTATAACATTGGGGTTTTTTTGTTTTTGTTTTTTTACTTTCCAAGAGTTGAAGTGAAATAATTTGGTCGCACAGCTGTGCACGTCTCAAAACTGGGACACTGCCGTATGTAAGAATTCATCCATCCATCCATTTTCCGATCCGCTTTATCCTCACAAGGGTCACGGGAGGTGTTGGAGCCTATCCCAGCTATCTTCGGGCAGTAGGCGGGGGAAACCCTGAACCGGTTGCCAACCAATTGCAGGGCACACATAGACGAACAACCATCCGCGCTCACACTCACACCAAGGGACAATTTAGAGTGTTCAATCAGCCTGCCATGCATGTTTTTGGAATGTGGGAGGAAATCGGAGTACCCAGAGAAAACCCACGCAGGCCCGAGGAGAACATGCAAGCTCCACACAAATGAATTTCTGATGTTCTGGTGTAACATTGGCTGCTATTTTGAACGGAACATGATTTTTTTTCCACGTTGTCTAAGATCCCAGTTCCAGCCGAAGATAAACAGCATGGTGCCAGAACCATTCCTCACTGTGGATAACATGTTCTTTTGGTAATATGTTTGCGACAAACATTGCTTGTGGCCAGAAAGTTTACCTTGGTCTCATCAGACCATCACGCATTTTCAACATGCATTTGGGAGATTTTGTTGTAGTCGAATGAAACCAAGGTGGAATTATTTGGGTCATATGTGCAATTACAATCATTCATTCCATTTGGCCACGGTTGCCACTAACTAAATTACAAAGGTTTACGGGCTATGCTCAGTCAGAACGTGTCACATTAAACCTCAAAGTCCAAATCGTGAAAACAATGCATGTGATGTTACTGGTATACTCTAATGAATATTGATAAACTGATTGCCGTGTGAACAACACACGCCACAGTTGAATTATTTAGTGTCTACAAATATATCTTTGCTCATCCATGCCAGTGACGTCTAGTTAAAGGCAGAACAATTAACTAATTTTCACACTCCCAAAGACATATTTATATATCTTTTCACACTCCACACGTTCAACCCCACATACTTATTTGTTTTTCAATTTTTCCAAGACTTAGGGTATAAAAAATAAAAATAAAATGGGGTCGAGAATTGGCTGGTACTGAATGAGATTAAATGCTCTTCCATTAAATGGCAGAACGTCCATTAAACACATTTTGCCATTTGTACGGCAGTTTGGGTCATGGATTCCTGCAAGTATATAAGCTTCATGTTTAATTAAACAGATTTAAGTGTAAATTGAGAATGAAAAGGAGATCATCATTATTTCAATATTCACAGTTTTTGTGAAATTGTTGTGTGGTAGTGTCAACAGATATTTTTATTATGTAATGTTGCCTTGGCTCAGTTACAGTTCAAAAACACTGTACAAGAGTGCGGAGATGAAAACCGATAATATTCTGTGATCAGCTGGCGACAAGTCCAGGGTGAATCATGCCTCTTGGCCCAAAGTCAGCTGTGAGAGAGGCTCCAGATCACCTTTGACCCTAATGAGAACAATCAGCATGGAAAATTTATGGATGTTTGGGATGTATTATCAGTTAGATAGCATACTGTATCTCAAAGGAAATTTAGGAGAGCAACTATTTGAGAGTAGCGATATACATAATTAGACAAAAATTGCCACATAATTATACTGCCATATATAGTAACATACATAGTAATCTTATGCCCACACTTTAATTTCAATCAATGATCCGATGTTTGAGTGTTTCATGCATTTTCTCTGCTTCTTCCTGAGCCGAGCAAGATAACAGCAGAAAGCATAATACTCATAAAATGTTGGGGTAAAATTGCTTTATTTTGACAATGTAGTGCCGATATTTTTAAGTAAAGAGTTCTGCAAGTAAGGACAATTTTTTTAAAAATCCAACCTGAATTTTAAATGTCTACCACACCCACCTGCAGTGCAGCTCTAAAAAGGGCCAAACATTACAATGTCAGACACTCACCCATAAACCACAAAGCACCCTATGGAAGTTAGCACATCTTGTTGAAAAACAATTTCATCTTTCTAAACAGAAATCTTTTCTATTCTAACATCATCTATCTTTTGATGCTGCAATGACGATAAACGGCACAAATGTAAGATGATGATTCAACAAGACTCCACACTCCATCTACCATCGTTGATAACTACAAAGGAACTTTTAATTACAAACAATGAAACCACGACTGGTTTATTTAATATGTGATGAAAGAATTTTTATCAACAAACTACAATACTTAATTACATTCCTTTTACCAGTCACCTCCACAAAGAGTCAGTGCCTATTAGTTGTTATGGGTAAGGGTGTTCCAACTGGGATTGCTATTACAGGCTCTATCGTCAGGTGAGAGAAACAAACCACTCTGGACTTGAAATGCACAACATGACTTGGCCATCTGTCTAATATAGTTGGCTAGGCATATTTTTGAAGTTGAGTTGATCTCATAAGAGAGGACAGCAAAAATAGCAAGAGTAACCATGGTGGTCTTCAAGAGGAAAATAATTTAATAATAGGGACGTTACATCTGATACCTGTGTATATTTTGTTAATTTTACGACGGTTCCGGACTGCATTATGTATGACTAAGAAAGTATTCTCGAAAAAAAACATCACCTTCACAACATTGAATGATTCTGTTTAATTGATCAGTGACATTTGGACAAACAGTCCTGAGGTCACGACAGAAGGTAACAGCATGTTGTCCAAACACCTATTGTTTGTTTCTTCCTGTCTTTGTTTTATGAGGTTAATAAATAATAAAGAAGAGAGACAAAATATTTGTGGGTGGACAACTGCCTGAAATGAAAATAGGTAACTACAGAGTATATTCAAATACACAGCAGATAATATTAATAATAATAATAATAATAATAATAATAACAACAACAACAACAACAACAACAACAATATCTACGACTTTGGGGAGCATTTTAATTCTATATTTTCGTCTACTATGACTTTGAAGGAACCAAAGGCCAAAGTCAGTGTGGTACGATAGGAAAACTCTATATTATGTAATACATCGCATCTTTTTTCGATCAGAGTTCTTTGACGTTTAATCACCGTACTACCAGGAATGAGGAACACCAAAGGCATACGCGAAGAGTGGATGAATGTTTAAATCACAAGTCACGACTTTTTCATCTCATCATTTTGATAAACGGATTTTCTGTCAATTGAGAATCAAACCAGACACAATAACGGTAAAGTTGAAGACGAGATGAAGAACGAGTTGACGTCTCCCTTTATTCAGTAGTACCGTTTCATGATGTGACAAAAACTTGCACTCCATGCGTTTGTTGCTCTTAAACGGTGAACTATCTTGAAAACATTCAGTAATTGTACACACCATATGCGTTACTTACGAAATAGTTGCCGCAGCTCTTCCATCAAACGTTGACTCGCAAAAATTGATCGACAATGCATTCAGGCTGCCTCGTAAATATAAACGTTAAAAAGGAGGTTGGATTACTGTCCGTTTTGTCAATAATGCAATTCGTTTCTTTAGGTGGGTGTATTAGGTCAACATGTATACTCTAATTTGTTGAATAAATCCACGCTGCAATTGTTTTCTGTAAAGACATGCCAATGCACAAATGTTGAATCTTACAAGGAACGAAATGTTTTTGAATGCATCAGTGTTCCGGAGGCGGGGCAAAGTGAAAGGAAGGAAAGGGTGTTGGTTCAGAGCGTTTACGTTTTGATCCAGTCTACAAATCGGAATCAGCTGCCGCAAGCTAAATTATCTGAGTTTACGGGCTGGGCTTTGTCACGATGTGTTACGTTAAACTTTTAGGACAAAGTCCGAATCGCGAAAAAATTAATGCACGCCAAGAATGTCAGTGGTGTAATAAATACTGATAAAAATAACGTGATATCAATATAATGTCTAAATGAGCACTCGAAGGCTCATGCGTGCTGAGAACCACCGTCGTCACAGGGCGACCATCTTGCGACTGGACTGCTCGATCACTCGTCACATTACAGTCAATGAAAAACGGACTTTGAAGTAATTCTAGATTACTCAACTCTCGAAAATTCTGAACGAATTTTCAAACGGCATGGTGTGTGGGGCAAATGTCATAGAATTTTTTTTTCACTGCACACTTAATAATTAAAACAGTTGAAATTTAAATAAAGGTACACTAGATAGGTAAAGCAATGGCTATACACACACACACACACACACACACACACACACACACACACACACACACACACACGCATAAAGAGC